GCAGCAGCAGCAGCAGCAGCAGCAGCAGCAGCAGCAGCAGCAGCAGCAGCAGCAGCAGCATACCGAGTGCAGCTCCGCGGGCCCCACACCAAGCTGGTCTGCGACTTTCATGAGAGCCACAGAATACAAAAAAGGGAACCGACCTGTACAGACACCCCAAAGGAAGCAGCAGACCTGCAGTGTCTCGACAGGAGGCAGAAGCAGCAGCAGCAAACTTCTGCTGCTGCACGGACTGCTGCAGCAGCAGCAGCAGCAGCAGCACTACACGCAGCAGCAAAAGCGCTCCCCGCCACAGCAGCAGCCCCACCCGCAGCAGCAGCCCCACCCGCAGCAGCAGCACTACCCGCAGCAGCAGCACTGCCCGCAGCAGCAGCAGCAGCAGCAGCAGCAGCAGCAGCAGCAGCAGCAGCCTCACTTGCTGCGAAGCTGCATGCAGCCTCGAGCCGCAGCGGCAGCGCGCGGCCGCTGCCGCAGCCGCCGCCTTCTAAAAAGCTGCTGCTGCTGTCTCTACAGCCGAAGTTTTTGGAGACAAAAGATTCAAAAAAAGCAGAAAAGGACCAGTTTGCTGCAGCATACTTGCTGTGCAGCGGGTCCCCCGCCTCCTGCTGCTGCTGCTGCTGCTGCTGCTGCTGCTGCTGCTGCTGCTGCTGCTGCTGCTGCTGCGGCTCAGACACCTGTGTTGATGGGGAGCGGCGGTCTCCACGGGCTGCTGCTGCTGCTGCTGCTGCTGCTGCTGATGGTTGTTGGGGCGCGCCGTCGTGCTGCTGCTCGTCTGCAGCAGCAGCAGCTGCTGCTTTTGCTGCTGTTGCTGCTGCTGCTTTGCAGGGCTGCAGCAGCTGTGCCACAGCACTGGCCAAGCTGGGCTCCTGGGGTGCATCTGCAGCTGTGTCTGCTGCTGCTGCTTGCTGCAGCAGCCCATTAGGCGTCTCTGCTGCTGCTGCTGCTGCTGCTGCCGCTGTCTCCGGCGCTCGCGGCTGCAGCAAACTGTCAGCAGCACCCATCTGCTGCAGCAGCGCAGCAGCAAGCAGCAAGTAAAGAGACTTTGCTGTTCCTCCGTAGCTGACATAAGGAGAGCCCAGCCACTGCAGCCGCAAGTCCTGGTGCTGCTGCAGGCACTGCAGCGCTTCCTGGCGAGCAGCAGCAGCAGCAGCAGCAGCAGCAGGCACGGGCAGCGGCAGCAGCGGCAGCTCCGCTGCAGCTGCTGCAGCAAACTGCTGCACAGCAGCAGCACTGTGCGGCTGCAGCGGCAGCAGCACACACGGCTCGCAGGCCTCTTGTGCGCTAGCAAAGTGCCTATACTTCTGAAAGTGAGTCGGCCTGCTGCTGCTGCTGCTGCTGCTGCTGCTGCTGCTGCTGCTATTGCTGCTGCTGCTGCTGCTGCTTCGGGTGCGGTGGCGGCGCTTCCCCTTCTCGCGGCGGCCCTTTTTGCTGCGGCGCCGCTGCTGCTGGTCCTGCAGCAGCTGCTGCTGCTGGTCCTGCAGCAGCTGCTGCTGCACCCCTATGTAGCCAAATGCTGCAGCAGCAGCATTTGCTGCTTTCTCAAGATCCTCTGCCACATCTGCGAGGGGCATAGTGTCTCCTTCTGTCTCTACGATGGCGCCGCGCTGCTGCCAGCGCAGCAGCAGCATGCGAGTGCAGCGGGCGGCAAATCAGCAGCTCCTCAGCCCGCTGCAGCACTTGCTGCTGCTGCAGCAGCGGGCCCAAAGCCCAAGCCCTAAACCCTAAATCAGTGTCTAGCACTGTTGTTCTGTCGGCCTCCGTAAGCATTGGCAGCTGCATGCTTCCTGCTGCTGCTGCTGCGTCTGCTGCTGCTGCAGCAGGAGACAGCAGCCGGAACAGCAGCTGCCGATTCGTCGGCATAGTCTCCAGCAGGCGCTCCACAGCAGCTTCTGCCCCTATTAGCCCTCGAACAGCAGACAAAAACTGCTGCTGCTGCTGCTGCTGCTGCTGCTGCTGCTGCCGCTGCTGCTGCTGCTGCTGCTGCTGAGTTGCACCTGCAGCAGCAGGAGACATGACAGCTTCGAAGGCTTTGGAGACAGCAGCAGAAGCAACGGGAGACACGAGAGGCGGCGGCAGCTGGCAGCCCCAGCACCAAGACGGCAACTGCAGCAGCTGCTGCTGCTGCTGCTGCTGCTGCTGCTGCCGGCGCAGGCGCCGCGGGTCTGCTGCTGCAGTCTCCTGGTATGCCAGCAGCAGCTGCTGCTCCAGCAGCACTTCTTCAGCTTCTCCGCCCCCACAAAATGTTGCACCTGCTGCTGCTGCTTCCACAGAGTCGAAATAGTCCAGCAGCCCCGCCAGGTCCCCGCCCTGCAGCAAACCCTAAACCCTAAACCCTAAACCCTAGCCCCAAACCCTAGGCCCAAACCCTAAACCCTACTTGCAAGCCCTCAGTGAAGCTTGGTTCAAAACCCTAAACCCTTACTGCAAACCCTAAACCCTACTTGCAAGCCCCAGATGAACCCTTGCTGCAAACCCTAAACCCTAGTTGCAAGCCATGAGCCCTAGTTGCAAAAACCCTAAACCCGAATCGTAAACCCTAAACCCTAATTCCAAACCCCAAAACCGACAATGCCCCTTGGAGGCCACAGAGGGACCCCCCAGTGGATCCACAGGGGGCCCCACAGGGGCCCCCACAGGGGGCCCCACAGGGGCCCCCACAGGGGGCCCCACAGGGGCCCCCACAGGGGGCCCCACGGGGGGACCCCACAGGGGGCCCCACGGGGGGCCCCCAGAGGGATCCCTACAGGGGGCCCCGGAGGGGGCCCCCCAGGGGGCCCCCCAGGGGGCCCCACAGGGGGCCCCACAGGGGCCCTTAAAGGGTACTGTAGGCTAGTTTACCTCGGGGTCTAAAAGTAGGCGAACGATAGGAGCTGGCAGCAAGTCACCTGATGATGGCCGCTTCCTCTTTTGCTGCTGCTGCTGCTGCTGCTGCTGCTGCTGCTGCTGCTGCTGCTGCTTGTGGTGGAGGTGCTGCAGCAGCAGAAAGCGAATGGCTTTTCTGCCCGCGCGTCTCTCTCCGATTTCTTTTGCAGGAAAGAAGTAAAGGGTAAACCCGTCTGCTGCTCCCTCAGCAGCAGGCTCAGCAGCAAACGCAGCAGCAGCGCTCGCTGCTGCTGCTGCTGCTGCTGCTGCTGCTGCTGCTGCTGTTTGGCGAATGCCCACAACCCAAGTCAGAGTGAGGCCATCAAGATAAACAAAAAATTTATCTGTGGCCCATCGAAGGACTTGAAGCGGCAGCCGGTAGGGCGACAGGGGCCCCCCAAAGGCAGCAAGGGGCCCTTCTGTTTTGCTGCTGCTGCTGCTGCTGCTGCTGCTGCTGCTGCTGCTGCTGCTGTTGCTGCTGCTGTTGTTGCTGTTTTGGCTGCGTTCGCTGCTGCGGGTGGCTCTGTCGTCGGCTGCAGATGAAGGCGAATACTGGCGATGCGCGTCTTGCTGCAGGGGCTGTCGGGCGCTCTTGCTGCTGCTGCTGCTGCTGCTGCTGCTGCTGCTGCTGCTGCTGCTGCTGCTGCTGCTGCTGCTGTTGCTGCTCGTCGCTTTTCCCCTGGAAAGCTCTTTCTCCGTCTGCACGCAGATATCCAGGGCATTCTGGAGGTCTGCTGCAGCAGCTTGCTCCTCGGAGCTGCTGCTGCTGCTGCTGCTGCTGCTGCTGCTGCTGGGCAGCGCAGCAGGCTGCCACTGCATGGCCGCGTAGAGCAGCCTGAGGGCCAGCAGCAAACAAGCCCCAGCAGCAAACTCCAAAGGACTTCCCCAAGAGTTTGTTTTGCTGCGGGGAGTCAGCAGCTTCCAGGCCTCGGGGTGGTTTTGAGGTACCCCCGAAGGGGCCACTTCGGGGGCCTCTGGGGGCCCCCTGGGGGCCCCCCTGAAGCGGCACCAGGGCATGTGTTGGGGCCCCCTTTTGCGCTTCCTTTTGGGTCCTGCTGCTGCAGCAGCAGCAGCAGCAGCAGCAAAAAACTCCCCCCCAGACTCCCCTTCCTTCCCTGTGTGGGGCCCCGCTGCTTCGCTTTCCCCTTCGCTGCTGCCAGCTGCTGGCTGCAGCACCAAGGAGAAGCCACCCTCTTCGCTGCTGCTGCTCCCCTCTTTTCCTGCTGCTGCTGCTGCTGCTGCTGCTGCTGCTTCTGCTGCTGCTTCTTGCGTCGCAGGTGACCCCACGCTCCCCGCAGACGCAGCTGGGCCTGCACCTGGTGAAGCTGCAGCGCCTGCTGCATCGCCGCTGCCCGTGGCAGCAGCAGCAGCAGCAGCAGCAGCTGCTGCTGCTGCTGCTGCTTTATCTGCTGCAAGTCCGGTGCCCTCCGCTGCTGCACGCCTGCGCTTGGAGGCCGCTGCTGCTGTGCTGTCTTCCGTTCTGTGGGGTGCTGCTGCTCCTGCGGCTGCTGCGGAAGCCGCGTCACCACCAGCAGCAGCAGCAGCAGCAGCAGCAGCAGCAGCAGCAGCAGCACGGCGAAGGCGGGGGCCCCCCAGCCCTTTGCGAATGCGAAGGGGGGGCAAAGGCCTCTGGAGACACTGGACTTTGGAAGGGACAAAAGGGGGTTTGCGGGGGAGTTTGAGGTGTCTGTACTCCGGGGCTGTGCGCAGCTTCTGCTGCAGCAGCAGCAGCTGCGCCGGCAGCAGCTGCTGCAGCAGCGCGTTGGCCAGCAGCAGCACCAGCGGCGGCAGCCGCAGCGCAGCCCCAATCCGGGCAATCAGTGCTGCTGCATTGAGCGGGGGGGCCCCCCCGGGGGCCCCCCCCACCCCCAGGGCCTCCAAGTCCTGCAGCACTGTGTGCAGCCGGAAGGCCTGCGGCAGCGCCTGCGGCTGCAGTGCTGCTGCTGCTGCTGCTGCGTCACTGTGGGGCCCCAGGTGCAGCAGCGCCCCCGTGGCCACGCGGCACTGGTGCCACAGCGCGGGGGGAAACAGCCGCAGCAGCGACAAAGTCCCGATCCGGTTCTGCGCGCACAAACGCTGCAGCAGCAGCAGCAGCTGCAGCAGCTGCAGCAGCAGCAGCAGCAGCCGCAGCTGCAGCA